TATATATAACAGATCCGAGAAAATAAAACAAATTTAAAATGCATTATTCGGAAAACTGTACATTATCTGCTTTCGTATTATAATAATAACAATAACCTGCATAAACAGAGACTTATAAAACGTAATTTTATAATAAGAATTGTAACTTAATTGTATCAGAAAAACTTGGTAAAACAATCGATTATACAAAGCTTCAATTCTTATTTTAAAACTGCTAATTACGAAGCATCAGTACTTTATTCTTTCAAGGTAAAAGAGAACTCAATCTTGTAAGTTCAGCTTAAGACTTAAGATCGAAATGAGGGTGTAGACTATCGAGATTAGAAGGATCACTTTTGGCTAAAGGCTACATTTACTGTAGAGGATTATCGCACAAACTAACAGATGCACTTAATACTGTGCACTAATAAAAGCGCAAGACTGTTCATCCTTGAGAAGGAATTTTCCTTATAATATAAGGAAAAAAAAGAGTCGGAAACTTTATTAGTTTATTCCGAACTTAAAATTAAAAAGATGAATCATTAAAACGTATCGATAGTGTTTAGTCTCGATCTTAATTTGTAAATAAATAAATAAATAAAATATATAGGCCTATACATTTATTTAATATGAATTAATTTTTTACGTTTATTTATTTATATTAATTTTTTGAATGAAATATTTCTAACTTACGAAAAAAAAAGGAAAGAAAACGTAGGAAACGGTTTTTCCAACTTCCTTATAAGTGTTAAAAGAATCATCAAATATGGAAATTCCCTGATGATAGATTTCCTGATTGTTTAAGAATAAGTAATGCATTACTATAAATAACTTTTTATCTTAGATTTAAAATTGAAAATAGATAAATCTTAAGAAAAAGAAATGCAATTACCGCTTCGGATATGTATTAAATAATATATCCTTTAAAGTCACTGCTTAAAGATATTACAGCGTAACCTTTATTAACGGACACTCCCGAATAGCCAATACCTCTATTTTAACAATCCCTAAATCCTTCTATTATATTTACCTGTAAATGGAGGACAAACTTCTCGGTGTCCGCTATTCGCAGGTTATGCTGTAAGATAGAATTAATAATAAACTAAGAATTGATTTTGTTTAGGATTTTGAAAAGATACTTTGAAAAATTCTCCGAGAATATTTAATCGATCCATGAGCTTTAACTACAATCGATCGATGATCAATAGAAACTGATGCCGACTATTTTTAGAAGATACTTAAACTTTATAGTAGACCAAAATTATTAATATTTTTAAACGGAAAAAACTAAAAATAATAGATTTTAATACTATACAAGTGATATTTAAATATGTTTATTATTATTATTATTATTAATCAACGAATTGCTCTTTATATAACATTAAAAATTCCATCGTAACATCATTTGTTATCATGGATGCCTCTTATTAGCATTTAACAGTGTTCGACATGAGACGAGCTAGTTAACATCGTTACGCTTGCTTGAATCGTAACAATCGAGCCATGTATACCATGTTTAAAGGCTGGATGGATTACTTGAAGGTAACAAAAATTGATTCCTGTTTCACTCCCTCCAAATCCCAACTGATGATTGGAACGTTTAGAACGGTGCTCTACCGGAACTGTTAATAAAATGCTTCGGTGTCCATCTGGACATCTAGCACTTTTCTAGGCAGCTGCTAAATGTTCGATTTTCTATTTAAAAAACAAAAAGATTGCTAATGCATTAAACATTATTTGTTTTAATATTTAATTTTAATCATTCGAATTGTATTTTAATTCACATAAATGCGCTTAAAACAATACTTTCGGAATCGGGATTACAATTGCTCAACTTCGTTCCGACTTTTTTCCCCGCTGAACAAAGTACTTCACAAAGACACTTCACTTAGAATATTATTATTTCCCGCCAGTTGCGACACCTCATCGCCACCATCATCGACCCATCATTATGTAGGGTCGGCAAAGGTCAACAGTTAGTTACCCACGACATTTAGTCGAGTCATCTTGTTCCTCATTGGACCGACACACATCTTTTGTTTTGTTTTCAATTTTGGGACGTTCTCGCAATAATCTTTTTTTACGTCTCACTAAAAAAGATATCCATTTTTGCCGGCTTTCACGTGTTTTATCCTTTGTGATATCACAACTTAACGTCTTCCAGATTAAATAGAAAAATCTGAATTACTCTAAGCACTTACCAAAATGGACTATATATATAGCCTATATATTTAATCTTCAGAAATCTTATCAGAGACAATAACAATCTATAAATCACTTAAATTTCACTATCACTTTTTCAAAATGATCTCTAGCGATTTGTGCGATGACAGATTATAGGAAGACTAAATTTCCTACTCGTCTTCAATCAGTTGCATTGCAATAAAATGGTTACATTAAATAGCGCTAGCCATGTACAGTAGGAAACCACTTAGAGCACTGTGCCTCATTGGCGAACCTCGTACATGCAATTAGTATTAATTCTGCCAATAACTTAGATAATGTAGTATAAAGAGATAGTTCAATAATTCCTGTTTAGGTCACTTAACTCAAACAAACCAGTACTAGCCACATAGACATCCGACAGCCTCAGTTTTATTTACTAGATTTCAAATTTCTGGGAACGAATAAAAAAATCAGCAAGTCGTCCACCTAACATATATAAAAGACCACATCCGATGAAAATGAATGGCTTCCCGAGGAGAGACTAATTTTCTTATTATTTTGAACAGTAGGGACACTAGTCCTACTAGAGATAAGTCAAAAAATGAGATAGTAAAACAACTAAAATTCTAATATAAATTTACACTTCTTATCAAAGGTAAGTGAAGAATTACTGTATGGTTTTAAAAAGTAATATATGTGGCAAAATAATTTTATAAAGATTTTCCCACACTAAAAGTCTATAACGTCATCCTTTACTGTATTTTTTTATTTTATTAATTTTTTTTTCTGTAAACGATTTACTTTCAATTACCTACTCTTGTATACAGCTGCCGACATGTTCTATTTATGTCCCAGCTGTCTTCCATTATAGCTTGTTATTCATTCCTTCAGAACTTGGATGAAGGGAAAGCTTCAATGAAGAAATTACCACACATTATGTCTCTCACTTCCTCAATTATACATAATTACAGCGAGGCATTTGGGCCCGGGACACATCGCTTGACCACGTGAACGGGATGACGTCAGCGGGCGCATCACCCGTAGATATTTTGTACGTTATGTAAAGTTGCAAGAATGACAAATAAGTTTGCATTTGTATAAATGATCGAAAATAAAATAAGAAATTGCATGTTGCATTTCAACGGATCTTTGCAAATCGGTTTATTGCATGAATCGAATATGCATTTGATGTGTCTTATGTGGGACGAGAGAGAATTTGCAGTGTGAATCACTTCATCTTATAATTGCAAAACGTCCGTGTTATTATCATGTTTATTGATCTGCTAATTCTAGCAATAAAAAGCCTAATGAAATTTATAAAATATGCGAATTCAATTTTAAATAATTAATTGATGTTTAATTGTAAATATTACAAATAATGAAAGGTGTAAACTGTTGATAATATTATTATTACTGTATTATCGTTTAAATTGGTTTAATTTTTATATGTTATTACACTTAATTTATCGAATTAAATGACAATCTTACCTGTTGAGTTATCTGTTGAGCCATTTATACGCCTTTATACACGTAGTAAACGTTTCTAATCCCTTTATTCGGCTTCCAAAATTTCACTTTCCAGCAATATATGTTTCATTTTCAATACAGTAATTATAAATTAAGCTTTTAGTATTACTCTATAAAGTATCAAGACAATAATTACGGAAACTTAAGGCTAGTGTTTAAAATTACAGCAATATGAACGTTCAGTAATGATAAACCCCAACTTCGAGCAACATCTATAACGTAAAATAAAAAAAATATATAGATGAAGAGAATTAAGTTAAATTTTAAAATATATAAATATTAGTTTTAGAAATGATAAACGTTGTTTTTAAATGAACTGTGTATTTGTTCGGGTAATGAGAGCATAAATAAAAATGTAAACGCAAAATTCTTAAACTTCATTTATTTTTAATATCTGTGGGTTAAAAAGCATCAAGATAAAAAAAACACACGCATTAATTCGTTCAATTTAAGCAATAAAAATTTATCCTAAACATCTGCACATTTACTAATTTAAATTAATTGTATCAGATTTAATGGTTTAATTCAGAAATTCATCAAGTTTTAATTGGCATAAAGAAAATATAATTAAGCTAAGTAAAAATATAGGAAAATTTATATATATTATATAATAATTTATTAAACTAATTGTGATTATTATTACCACTTTAAATCATTCATAAAGTTCTATTTATATAAATTGGAAACATTTATGAGATATACGATATGTTCTAAGACTTGAATGCTTTTTAAGATGCTTAGTCACGACTGTTGTTCTCTTTGCTGTGTTTTTACCTAAGAGTTTTCGGTGATGTACCATTTGTAAAGAAGTCGGAACAATTGGAATAACTCAAATTTCACTTTCCCAAAGAGGATAGCTATCTTTGTAAACGTTTTTCTAGATTGTAGATAAGATAAGGTGAAGGGAGAATCGGTTGGATGATCCCATACATTACTTATTGGTCTAATTGTTACAAGATTATTTAATTATTTTGGATGGTGTACCTAAAAGCCACGTCATCTACCTTCAGTTCTTTAGCCGTATATAATTAAAAGCGTGAGAATATGACTAGGAGATGTGCAATCCCAAGCATCCTCTAAACCAATAGCGCTTCTTTATGACCTTCACAACTATCCCTCCATTGGTCGTTAGAAGGAAGAAGGCGGAGTAGATAAAACTTTCTGGTTATAATACTCATGTAGGATAGTTTTGAGCAAAGTTAGTAGGGAATTTAGTCGGTAAAACATCAACAGAGTGTAAGTTGATCATAATCAAATACTTCCGTAAACTGTGGTGAGTTCATTAAATCTTATTTAATTTGTTAAAAATAATTATACGCGAGTAATTGTTTGTAATAGGGACATACTTTCATTTCATTATTTCCAGTTTCCTTTTCAGCTGTTTTCCCCCCTCGTATAGTTTAAATGTGTCCAATGAATAACCCCTACCCGCTGATAACTGTTTCAATAACGGAACATTAAAAAGGATGTTTAATTCTCCCATCAGCTTTCATCATCGTTTTAACAACAAGTACTTAAAGATCATTTTCCCGCAGATCGACTAAATCACGGAAATACAACTGGTTACAATTCGTTCAACTCATTCAAACCTCTAAAAGAATCACACACGCCATATCATTTACCTTAAATGCCACTAATTGAAACTCATGTACATCCGTAACATTCCACCAAAACCCAATTCTAAACTACTAAAATGCATCTCAGACATATTTTCTTCCTTACAGACAATGCAGACTAACAAATCTGAAATGAGAGGCAATTTTCATAGCATACAAGTCATGCTGGGACTACAACAACAGCAACAGCAGCAGCAACAACAACAACAACAGCAACAGCAGCAACAACAGCAAGCTGGTCACGCCGATTTATCTCAAAATGCTCTATCCAATACCTTATCGTTAAATTCGGTTCCACTTCCTACTAATTCTTTATGCAATGCACGGTTAACAAATCCTCAAACATCAGACTTGATAGGAAAAGAAGTGACTGGTAAGTTTCATACTCTTAAATATCCTATATTTTTATTAAATATAATTACGTCTGTATGTTATCTAGATTATAAAATATGTAAATTTTCCTTTTACATCAATTTTAATATAATATATTAAACTTCAACAACTTTTATATTCTAAATGTAGTCTGATTTATCATTCGATTTACAATCTCTACGGATATTTTGCTATCCCAATTCGTTATTAAAACTAAAACTTAACTTTAATTAGTGCAAGTTTATACTGTGTATGCATTAATTACTAAATACAGTACACGAGAAATTAATTAATAAAATATTCTCTTGTTATTTTATTAAGATAAAGTCATTTTAAATTCGATTCGAATTACAGAAAATCCAAAACAAAATGTGGAAAAATCACAAAATAATAGCAGCACCGATAAAACTGTAAAGAAAAAGAAAACAAGGTAATAAATTAGATTAAAAATAAAGATTCGAACTTTGTCAAATTCCCAAATTTAATTTAATTATTCCTTTTTTCTCTATACAGAACAACATTTACAGCATATCAATTGGATGAATTGGAAAGAGCTTTTCAGAGAGCGCCATATCCTGATGTTTTTGCAAGAGAGGAGCTTGCACTTCGTCTCAATTTAAGTGAATCTAGAGTACAAGTAAGTTTATTTTATACTTAAATTAACCTCTTTTATTATTATTAAATAATATTAGAAATATTTTCAAAAAAAATATATGATTTTTCTAACGGACAANATATATTTATCTGGAATAAAGTGGTATCAAATCGTACAAATTAAAGAAGAAAATGAAGTGGATACGTCTTCAAACAATTATTAACCAAGATGTTTAGAATGAAAAGTAAAATCTCCATAATAAACGAGGAAGAAAAAGTAGTGGAAGAAGATATTATTGAATTATAAGTATAATGAAAGCTTAGAGTTCATCCATAAACAATGTGTACCGGTTTAGGAAATTGAGGGCTATGAGAAAAGGCTACCAAAGACAACGTAGGAGAAAGGATGAGTAAGGTAAAAATGACATGGTTACAATTTTAATAAATTAATTTAGAAAAATTAATCATGTTCTCAAATTAAGCAACTCAAATTCCATCCACTTCTAATTTAAATATGTAAGGTCTCAAAGTTTCAATCTTCTAAGTTCACGCCAGTGCACTTTAATTATGTTTCAGGAGGTTCCCTCATCTCCGCCATCTTCACTCCGAAACCTGATAAACATAACCAAATGTAGAATTGATTTATGTGTGTATAAATGCATTGTAGTAATGTATATGGTGGGGAGGCCCAATCTCCACTATTTTCAACCCCAATCTCGAAAAACATGGTCAATGAGTGTTTTTTTAAAATTATTAAGATTATTTATTTGAAAGATTTAAAAACTGTACTTTAAAGGAGTGCGACTCTACAGAACAAGGATAGCCCTAGGTAAAATCGAAAAAAGTAACTCCTTGGGCCTCGCTATTGAAAGAGAATAGCAAATTTGGTGGCATATTTGAGTAGTTAAATCGGTATCTGTTGCATGTGCAGAACAATCATTTTCAAAGTCAAAATTGATTGAGAGCTATCTCCAAATAACAATAGGAGTATTCACGATAGAACAGCTGGGTTTTGTGAAGGTTATGAATCGTGAACACGCGTAACGACAAACGATTTGCAATCTTTGTTGGACCGCTTTATTAGTTGGCATCGTCTTTTCTCAGGAATTTTTTCCGCTTTTTTTTTTCTTTAATTACAAAACGACTCTGGTCGCTCTGTCGGCGAATTTCGACAATCTGTGAACGTTGCTTTGAGGAAACTTTCCGTTAAGCCATTGGCTTTTGCCATAGAATCTGTATTAACGAAAAGGAATTCAGGAAAATCGAAGCTTTCGTCACTTTTAAGAAAGCCGCGAAAGCCAGTATAGCGAGGAAAGGTAAAGATTGGGAATTCCCTTAATGTGTCAACAGAGACTTTCTTCATTTTTGACTTTGTCCATTGAAAGAGATGTTGCTGCACAACTGGAACTGCTAAAAGCAGAAGAGCGGTTTTAAAGGAGTAATTCTGAACACCTATTGAATTTATCAAATCATTTTTAAACTATTGTACACGTTTTTATTACTTTATTGTGTATTTTACTCTGTTTCTATATTAAAAATGCTCGCATTATTGTAGATTTAGTAAACCTACCCTCTTTCCTTCCATCCTTCTTTAATTAATGCGCCTCAGAAATAAACTTTGCTTTGGGCCCTCATAAATTCTAGGGTTGTGGCTGCTAGAGAATAATATTAGAAATATTTTCAAAAAAAATATATGATTTTTCTAACGGACAAATACTTAATTGCACGATAACTGCTATAAATAGTTCGTCTAGAGTCTTTCGTCATGACATCATTAGCATATGATTACTGCAAGACAGACAGAAATGATTTCTAATATCCTGTTATTCAGAAACCGTATTTGCTTTTTGTATTTCAATAATTCATACTTACTCTCTAATTGAACTTTCTCTGACCTATAAACTAATTTTTAAAGTTATAGAAAATAGCTTAAATGTTAAAATCGAATAAGACTCTAAATAGGTTAGATTAAAAAAAAAACAAACTGCATATTGATGATGATAATAATAATAAATATATAAGATTATACATATTCTGTTCATTGAAAACAGTTAGATTTCAAACCTTTGTTAAAGTTTAATTAATATTAAATTACAGTATCAAATTTTTCCTCAAGTTTGAATGAATTTATCTTACTAGTTTTGAATTTAATCATAGGTTTGGTTTCAAAATAGACGTGCCAAGTGGAGAAAACGAGAACCACCGAGAAAAACAAATTATTTACAAACAGGTAATATTCGTGCCATTTTTTTAATGATTATTCAATGTCAACGTGGTAATAATATAAAAAAAAATCGTGTATATCTTTATCAGGTACTAGTACGGCTCTTCCTAAACCGTTCACGAATCCAGCTCCGACATTGCCACCTATTAGCAATAACAACGATTCTTGGGCTTTTGCTGCAAATGCATATGACTTTGGTTTTCAGACACCACCTTACACTAGCTATAGCAGTAATCCTCATACTACTCTAGCGTCTAATAATCCTACAACAGGATTTTATAATAGTATGATATCGCCGCAACCTATGTCACTCTCCGATCCTCTTCTTCAAGGATTGCGTTCAACACCGGAACTTCAACAAAAGAATATGTTAAATTCTCCGAGTCCCACACAATTTTCTACATCAGTTAATGATAAGAAAGGCAACATGTTACTGGAACCCGAATCATCGGATCCTCATCGTTTAACAACTCTTCCACCATTATTGTTAAAAACGAAAGATAATGCAGTATCTCCTCTTCCTTCACTCGACTTCTTCACGTAACTTAAAAGGTCATGTGATGATTATTATTAACATTTTCTGACGTAAGAGAGTTTATTTTAAATTCCAAGAAGACTTTAATCATCTCTTAAAGCTTTCCTTCTTTAACGCGCTTCATTAAATTTAGGTTTTTTAACCTTTTACTATGGAACAAAATACGTTTGAAAAAATCAAAGGCCAAATATTAAATACATTTTCTCTTTATTTTATTTTTTTTTCTAGTCAAGTCAAAAATTTTTGTGCAATTTTTATTCAAAGAAGTGCTTCTAGTCTTATTAGAAAAATTGCATTTTAAAACGAATTTTTTAAAAAAGATGTTTGTAGAACTTGGCTCTATAATAAGCCACTTCTTATATTTAGTATCATAGATCAAATAGATAATTATATTATAGTCATTATCTAGTCTTAAGTGCCAAGTATACAAAATATAATCTATCGAGTGCAACATCGTGGCTTATAGTTTTTACTATTAAAATAAAAATCTAAAAAAAGTTTTGATATTAATCTATATTTTTCTATTTTTATACTTACTCAAAACGACGTTTAAATATGAATGCAATTCTTCTCTTTGCCTTTTCTAAATGTACTTGAAAGTTACTGTGTTTCTAGATGTAAGTTTTGAACGTGTCCAATTTCAATGTGTCCAATTAGTGATAAATCTGTAGATGTTTATATTTTAAATAAAATAAATGTAATATGCAAAATTTTTGTTTGCTCATCCTAATTTATTTTTTTTTTTAATTCNATATAAATTATTGTAAAGTGACATAAAGCTTACTTTTTTAGTGTAAGATGAGTTTTATTTTTTTTAAATTATAAATGCTAATAACGAGTAAAATCTCCATTAATTCCGACCCTACTGAAGATAAGACACTACTCCCTCTATTTCCCCACTCCCTCGACCTTTAACCACCAAATTTTAATAGCATCAATCCTCTAATACACAAATTTTCCCTGAAAAATTTCAGAAATTTTCGACAAAGGCACAGGAGTTATTAAGCTTCAAAATGGGTGAACAAAATCGTGCCCTCAGACTCACTAATAACCATAAATACAAAAAAAACGCAATTTTTTTATTTTTCTTTCTTTTTTTTTATTTCTCGACTTTTCAAGGTGCCCTGAGTTCAAAAATGTAAAAATTTGAAGTGGGGTCATTTTTTGACTAATTGCCATTTTTAGTTTTCGTAAATACGATGTTATATTCATTCATTTCTATTGTGTATTTTCCTTGTTAAATTTGTACTGAGTATAAAGCATTATTTTTTTATAATGCATAAAAATATATTCATCTTTATTCTATCATACATTCTCATTATAATATTCTGTAACATCAAGAACAACTTCGATTATATACTCGTACAATGACGATGACAGGAACCCTATCGATACAACTGTACATTGGTACTCATTGGAAGTATATCACAGTATTGTGTTCAGGAAGTTTGTTCGTTAGAGTATATTCGGAACTACGCTTTAAAAAAAGTTTAATTGAATTCCTCCACGTCCTCTGTATTAAATGTAGACATACTACTTCAAACACGTGGTGCTTTTAAGCGACAAGCAGCTAAGCAAGCAAACCAATAGCATAATCATTTTCTTGTAAAACGGATCCTGCCATTGGTTCGTTTACTTAGCAGCTTGCTACTTAGAAGTATCCACATTCTTCAATTTTACTGTCAATCACTCCAGATTTCTATCGTGTGAAATCGAAACTCCATTGAAACTTTGCGCTTTCAAACGCGATCGTATATTCTGTTATTCCTAAAGCACGACTTTTCTTGGAAACTTCATTTTTAAATTCCGTGTTTATCAATGTAAATTTACGTAGATGTACTTTCTTCATCTTTATGAACTGTATATTTGTGCAATGAAACGACAAATTGCAAAATAAGACATTTCTTCTTTGCACGTTTGTAAAATCCAAAGTTACAAAGCATTTTCCTCCCACTAAGAGGGTCTTTTCCCTGAACTAAAAGGCATTTTCTTCATGCCCATCTCCATGATTGGCATGAAGAAATGCCCTCTTAGTGGGTTCAGCCAGTCCTATGATGGTGAGAGATGGAGCCTGACATATGCCGAAATTATTTGTTATATCATCAACTTATTGATCGTTTTGTATATCTAGGTCTTAGTATATCTCTATACAAATACTGGTGATGATCCATTCATCGTTAATTAATATTATTTGCATGGTAATGTAGAACCTGATTCTAATTTTTAAACCCTTCCAAAAAACTATAAAGTGTCAACAAAATAAATTAAAATTTTTATTTTATATAATAATTAATTAAAAATTTTATTGCTTAATAAATATAATGAAAGAATAATTAAATAATATCAGTTTAATTCTTCGCAATATTTGTTTATCATGATTCTAACATGCATTCATTTCATCACATCGAATTGACATCAAAGTGTAGGCTGTATTAATGTGATAAAACAAATGTCTTAGGAAATAGGGCTATTGCACCAATACTTCAATTAATAGTAATTAATTATAGTAATTAAATGATTGATTAAAATAATTAAAAATAATGATCGTCTGAGAATTTTTAGAACGACTGTCTTTTATTTGTTTTAAATAAATACTATTAACACCAATACTTTAATTAATTGATTGCGATTTTAAAATCAGACTCATAATTATTAATTCATTTTGATGTTTTAAAACACTACTTTAACACATCTAAAATTTAAGTATACAGCAGTTTTAGCAGTTTTTAACGGGCCCTTCCCTTCTACCAAATAACGATACACGTAGCCTAAATGTGAGGCCCTAAGATATAGATTTATAAGCGAAGTTTAGGGACTCGTGTTATGAATCTATATCTCAGGTCATCACATTTATACTGTAGCTTATTCGCAAATTGGTCCTACTGATTACGTCAACTTGCCCTACTTAAATATAATGTTTATGTAATAAATATTCGGACGGGTCGAAAAACCCCAGAAATTTTTCAAGGAATGGGCAGTACGTATGTTGGGCCCCTCACTAAAGCTTACAACATTACAAATTAGCAAATATTTTTAACTTTAAATTATTTTTACTTTTTAATCTTCACATTTACAATATTAAAGCAATTCTTAAAAGTTGTAAATAATGTTGCGGATGAGAGAAACTACAGAAAATCATTTATTTAAGAAAATAATCAAAATTTAATTGCCTCTCAAATTGTAATCTTATGTTTATAAAATTAGTTAGTCATATATTTTATTTAATATAGTTGTTACGCTAATTACTTCGTTAAATTTATTTACTAGATGTACGTACAACGTGCGAGAGTAGAATAAGCTTCTCTAGTATACAGAACTCGATTTAAATTCTAAAATATTAGAATTAAATGTTTTATATTATAAGCAAAGTTTATTAAAAATGTACAAATTAATTAATTTATTTTTAATTAGATTTATTAGATTAAGGAAAGACGGACGGACCACGGTGGGAATTTATAAGTCTACATTTTTTTTTTTTTCTAATTGCATATAAAGCCTGAACAACGAATGTTTCATAATGGTTTTGATAGGTAGTTGTTGCAACTTCCATTCCATTGTCTAGTTAAGTAATCTTTACCCAATGATTACCATTAATGAGTAAAAATCTTTGTTAAGATTTATAACATTATCTTTTAATTGGGCATTTACGAAAATCCTTTCCTCTCGATCCAGAATTTTTCTTTCGGGGAATTTCATCTTGTAATTTTATTCGGCAGGGGCTATGGCTGGACCGCCCCAATCTTTCATCTGTCGTTTTACTTGTGGCATCGAGTACTGCCGAAATTTGGAGTGTTTTAGTTTCACGAGATTCCTTGTCTACGTGCATTTTTCTACCCGTCGAAAAACATTATTCTTATTTATCATTCGGAACTACACTTCTGGATAAGATTTTTGGCGAATGCATTTTTACGAAATAATTGACATTACTATTTAAAATCTCAATTATATTGTATCTTACGGAAGATGTTCTTATTGTTGATTCCGTCTGCACTGTTATGTATTTTTCAGTTTAGTTATTCTATGGTGGGATCCTGAGAGATAACATGGAACTGCCCGGGGTTACACCTCCAGGGCACAAGTCTAAAGGGTCTTAGTACCGTTTAAGATGTATTGTTGTGCATGAGAAACCTTACCTTTCTCACCCTTTCTATCTCTCTCTCCATCTCTTCATTCCCTCCCTCTTCCCTCAGGATAATTAATTTTTTTTACTTTATACTATGGCTATTTTTGTTGGGCTGCAATTTGAAAAAATTGTAGACCTATAAATTCCCACTGTCGTCCGTTTGTCTGTCCCTCCTGAATCTCGAGAACGGTGTTAAATAAATGAAAGTCGAGATCAGATATGGAAAGCTTAGTGGCAGGAACCCCGATCAACTATATATAAACTTCCGATAAAAACTGGAAGTCGCGTTATCTATTTCCATTCAAAAATGTTTTCCCTGTAAAAAGTTAGATAGATGATGGCATGACTCTATTGCTAGCAGGAAAAGTATTATGCCCAGAGACAAGACACTACTAATTTGAAGTAGAGAACATATATTTAAATTAAATAAATGTTTAAAATATGAATAAAAATTATGCAATTCATCCTGTTTGCAAAATTGTGTGAATGATTATTTCGAGAAAATTCTANCGGCACGCCTCTATTGTTAAAGGAAAAGTATGATGTACAGGGGACAAGACACCATTAATTTGAAATGAAGAGCATATATTTAAATTAAATAAATGTTTAAAATATGAATAAAAATTATGCAATTCATCCTGTTTGCAAAATTGTGTGAATGATTATTTCGAGAAAATTCTATAAGTATTTATAGGCCAACCCCGATAGTGAAAACTTTATGGAGAGCACATATATTCTAAAGTACCGCAATACTCGCAATATATGCATTAATCGCAATACTGAATTACGCTAAAGATACATACCCGTAACTTAAATTAATTTACGTACGGATTCGGGTTCGAGTGCAGTCTGAATTCCCATAATTTACCATGGGAAGTAGGGGTCGGTGCTTCATTCTCCATCCCTGGCTTTTGCTGATGTGGCTGCTTATAATTATGTACATAGGTATAATTGTAAGCGACTACACCAGCGATCCGCTGAATGCACGGTAACAAACATTATAGTGGTATATATATAACATTAAACAATTATAATTATATGGAAATTTTTACCGAATTCTAATTCGAATTGAGAATGTGTATATAGGCCAACAGTAATATGAACTGATTTGTTAGAAAATCAGTTCAATTCACTGAATGAGATAGAAAGTATGCTCTAGAAAACCCGAATTCGAGTCCAAGTCGGAAACCCAAGGAATTTTTTCATGGGACTAACTTCAAACCCCTCGGTTCTTATTCCTCACCACCCGACCGAACTCAATGGTATGGAGAAAAACTTTCATAGTGTTCAGTGTGTACAGAATTAAAAATTTGAAAAGTACGGTGACGCCATATATTATATATATACACAGTATATATATTTATTTATTTATAATTCCTATTTGAAATGATTATTTATTATGATAAGTATAATAATCGAATAATTATGTATTTTATTCGATTTAATACCATAATACGGTATTACAGTCAAAACTCAGTTTTTGGAGACTCACTTTTCAAACAATTCAGTTCACGAACGGAATTTCAAACTTATATTTGCCCTGGTTGCCGAACAAGTTACTGGCAAGAGCCGACCATAGATTAGAGACATACAGATGGTCAACTCCCTATGTTAAAGTCGACGGCTCGACCAATCAGCGACAGGACTACCGATTCAGAAGTTAGTGGCGCGGAGATCGTCCGCGTATTAGACGTCACGACACCAATCCTCGATGACGTTACTATTTAAATTAGATTTCAATGAACATATGGGAAAGATACCACTTCCGTATTTCGGTACGCGTCGCAGTTGAATTAATTAAAAAACCGCGTTAATTGACATTCACGTAATATAAATGGCATCCAATAATTTGTCTTTAAAGGTGATTAAGTCAAACTAAGTAACAAAAATTTATATATAATACGTATATATATATCATTGCATTTGTAGGCATTTTTAGCATGAAATAGTTTTAAAAAGTAAATAAATCAGCAACGAATTGCTCAACTTTCTAGGTAACATTTAAAATTTTGGTGGCACCATCTGTTATCACATTTTTTTAAAAAATTGTTACATTTTTTAACTATTATAAACGGCAGAAAGCTTAATTTTGAGGGTAGGAATGAGTTTTATAAAAAATCGTAAGACAACCTCGATCTTTAACCACCAAAATTTAATAGCATGAATCCGCCTAATATACAAACCTCCCTGAAAAATTTCAGAAATTTTCGACAAAAAGCACAGGAGTTATTAAGCTTCAAACAGGGTGAACAAAATCGTGCCCCCCGACATATAGATAAAGAAATTACTTCCGAATTTTTTTTGCATTTCTCGACATTTCAAGATGCCCTAAGTCCAAACATGTAAAAATCATGGGGAGTCATTTTTTGACCGATCGCCATACTTTCCCTCTGCTATATATAACAGCGGGGAAAATAAAAAGGCTTTATTCTAGGGATCAGGAATGGATTAATCCATTTTATATTTTCTTATGATACACGATGAGTAGAACGTTAACAATTGAACTACGTTAAATACGGCGGATTGACAGTTCGAATACGTTGTCGTATACACGTACTGTACTGTACATATCTAGGAATTCCGACGACCGAGCCGAAGTGATAAAGGTTCGTTCTTTTGACGGCATGAAGCAATGCAAGGATTGCCAAAAGTACGTTTCCAAAGAGGGTTTTCTATGAGAAATTGCTCGATTGTTAGATACGTGAAGAAAACCTCCAGGCGACCTGTCCGTTGATCAGGCGCTAATCCTGGACCAACTAAGTGTTTAGCGGTTTATCCGCTGGGAGAAGTGGTAAAGTACTAGCCTGTTGCTTGGTGAGTCCAGATTCGAAAATTTTCATGGATGAATAAATCTAGATACTTTACGACTCTATCTCTCAGCACTTAGACCATAGGTAAGCTAGTCGAACCCACCTAGGACATGTAGACTAAATATCATCTCTTAGTGATACCCCACAAGAGAATAGAGAGGTTGAGGCCGAAGTTTTAAACGCGAAAACGTATACGTCGGACGTTCAGCGCCGCTTTCCTGTAAGCCTAGAAGTTTGACAATGGTGTTTGGATAGTCAGTAGAATCATGCTCGACATTCCAAACACCATTGTCAAACTTCTAGGCTTACAGGAAAGTGGCGCTGAACGTCCGACGTATAGGTTTTCGCGTTTAAAACTTCGGCCTCAACCTCGCTAGTATGTATATTTCTTGTCTTTGTCTTGTGTTATCACGTCACCTTCACTGCCGATTCTGCTTCACTATTTGTTATTGTTGACGTTGACCTAAGGAACAATTAAATTTCTGTATTAGTTATATGTTTGGAATTATAGACTTAAGTGGACATAGATAACAATGTGAAATACAAGGAACAACCGATTCCAACGCTTTCGGGTTCTATTTATTTTCAATTAGCATGCTACTACTAAAATTTTAGAATAACGTAGACTTCAAAAGAATTATAACGACGACCGTCCTAAATGATAAAATGGTGAACACAGAAAAGTCTTCCATCTATACCGATAAAAGACGTTTTCATATTTATTACGATAGGATCTCTTTGAGACTGACTGATGGCTACGCTATTGCAGTTTTCTCTGTATAGTCTGATCACTTAACAAGTTTCGTTTGTTTGTCTCCAGCAATCTTAACAAATGTGTAGCCATTTCCTGTGACAATTTATAATTTCAAGTTTGTTCTAAAGTTAGCCACTTAAATTTTTTTTTTTATTAGATTCGTCAACGACTGAACTTTTTATATTTCATCACTCATAATTGTACGAAGGTATTACAGATCAATCTGAACCTTAGATTGGTATAATTTACCCAATTTATATCTGGTACAAACGGCTTTGTCACTGGCTTGTCCTAAAAAACGATTGATCAGTACCATCTGCTACTAAATGTATAGATCACTCCTAAATAAACAAAAAAATTAATTTTTTAACATACATTACAATGAATCCTAACAGGGATTTTCCTCTGTATTATTAATCACAATTTTGTCTATAACTGTCAGCATTATCAAAGCAACATTTTGTACATTTTCTCTTCTAAATTTTTTTCCCTTACTGTAATATATTTTACATAGAAACATTTTCTAAACTTTTATTCTTAAACACAAAGTGATAGTGAATTCTAGCAAGATTAGATAATATATAAAAGTTAATTTTTTCAGGCAATAAAAAATTTAGTTTCTAAAGACTTCACTGTACCAATAGCAAAGGTAAGTTTTATTTTAAAAATTAAAAAAAATTGCCCCAAGACTTTATACATTCAACAAAAACAAAAAATCGAATTTGTTGAGTATGCAATTATTGTATTGTTGTTTATGGTTTTTGTAAATTGCATTTGATTAAAGTTTTCAAAAGAATAAAATTTAATAAAGCTCAACTTTAACAAGAATATATCTAGAAAAAAGTATGTACAAAATGCCTTTATTTAAACAGGTAATAATATTTACAATTTATATTATATAAAATTGTTGTGGTAATTTTCTTCTTAGAAATATTCAGATGGATTCGAATTCTTCTCTTTCGTCATTTGAATATCTTCCATCTGCAATTATAATCATAAATATGTAATAAAATTTTACATATATGTAAACAAGAATACATTTTACATTAATATGTTAATAAGGACTAGAATCCTGATTCTGGTCAAAATATCTTTTGATAATATTTCTTATCATTTACATAATTTTGTACTTTCAACTGATCAAATTGTTGTTACCAAACATAATGACAAATGAATGCAAAGAATGAATCCTACAAACTGATAAGTTCCTTTGTTTCAACTATGTGAATTTGATTTGGAGTACATAATTTATAAATTTATTCATTGTTACAAATTTAATTTTCTTTAGATTAGATGAAACAAGGATACTGATGATACTATTTTAAAATGCAAACCGATTATAAAGAAATAATTTTTGTAAATATTGTCACAAATAATACTGATGAATCGTTCAATCAATACTTGATTGAATGCTTCCTCAGCATTATTTTTTAATAATTTTATGTTTTACAAGTCAAAAGTAATATCTCTATTAATGAAAGCCAGAAAGAGAAATGCATAAATACTTGTTCTTACTTGATTATTTCAAAGTATAATAAATAAACACAACTTTTCAATTTGACGGATTCAACAAGAGAAATAATTTATAAAACAACATATAATCAAAGCACAACCTATTTGCCCTGTTTTCATCAAAGTATCCTTTACAAAATCCATAAACCTAAGTGATTTTTAGTCTAAAGCTGAAGATGAGAATTGAACTCAAAAGCACTAGGATTTTGTACAATTTATCGCATTTTGAAGTTTGAGTTTGAATTGTGAAGAAGTTTTTAAATATTAGTTGATATTACAAAATTAATGAATTGTACAGTCCATGCATTCATATAAAAAATAGAGACATGATTACATTGCAAAATCATTTGTCAATACATTATATCTGACTATACAGAAACATAACAATTCTTAATGAAAAGCTAATTTATTATCAATCAGTTCATAGTATGCCAAATTATGTAACAACTACAGTATAAATTTCAATGTATCAAATTGTTGCTATCTGATGATTTATAAGCATTACAATCATAACACCTGTTGTTACTATTCACAGAACTACTCAATGATTCTGTAAAAGATTTAATAGTATATATTTGTTTTAACCATTATAAAAATGCTATAGTATGATAAGAAAATTCTTAAATTCAGACATTGCTCAAATATAAGAAGAAACTCTTTATTTCTACAAAAACTAGCTGATAACTAATCTTATAAAAGTAAATAATCTTACATTAGTGTTAACCTATATTCTAATAATATTAATGTTATGTATGTATTGACAATAATTATTTGATTGCTATAAATTTGGGAAAATTTATTTTTATATCACAAAACTCATATAGCATGATGAAGACAGACAATAGTATTGTATAACAGTAGATGATTGGATTTTTATGTTCTGTAATATGTAAGAAATGCAAATTAAGACAAAGATATCAAGTTGGAGTTTTCTTTATCTGTAATAAATAAAAACAATTAATCTTCTTGTTTATCAGTCAATTTACTTAACAACCTAGTTGTAGGAATAAGTTCTGAAGTGAGGAGTGTCTGTAATACAATACTCTCTCAATATTTTTTTAAAAAATGCTCAGTCAAATAATATAATTATTTACTTTAAATGCTGATATGTAGTGTAAAATTCAAAACACCATATAACTGATATAAAAAATACAAAAGTATACTTAATAAGTAAAAGATTATCACAATTCTTAAATACTAGCTGCATTGAACTGAAGGATTCACCAATTATGATATATAGCATTTTTGATTAGATTTCATACAATTGTGAAACACTTCCCAACAATTTGCAATTAAATATCACCATTGCAATTCACATTTCAACACATTAACAAAATAGATATCAACACAAGCATTAAATAAGCCTGTCAACATTTTTCATTTCTACTATATGACAAAGTCCAATTAATATACCTTATTTTTAAGCATAATACCATGTATTATACCCTGATTCCTTGCAAGTGGAGATTATTAAATCTGTGAGCTTATTTGTAAATGTAAATATAATTTTTATCCCCAAAATAATATGTAATTAGTAACTTAAATTTAATAAAGCAACATCAAAATGCACCTACAGTACATGTTGCATGAGACTTTAACATTAATGTCTGCTAAATGTAAATTTAAATAAATATATTATGTAAACATTTTATGTAAACATTTAAATAGCAGAATCTATAAATAAATGAAAACAAATTTGTTATATCACTTGTGTTCTATTTCTCAGAAAGAACAATATTAATACACAAAAAATAATTATCTTATTCTCTATTTGAAATAAAGCTACCAAAAAATGTCTACATAAATGTCTAGCATGTAAAGCAGCAGTCCCCAACCTTTTTATTGCCGCAGACCGGTCAACGTTTGATATTTTACTGCGGCCCACTGAGGGGGACGTGATTGTTTATATTTTAGATTGATTTAATTTAATAATTTTAATTTAATTGAATTTAAGCATGCCTTCAAAATAAAATATAGTTACCAGGTTGTTCAGTAAGTTTTGTCGTTCGATAAGAAAAACACGGTTTTATGGTTTGAAATACATTTTATTATTCAATATAATCTCCCTGAACTTCAATACACTTGTTCCAGTGATCTTCTAATTTATGGATTCCATCCCTAAAGTGAGAATCCGGAAGACTGTCGAAATACGCTTCCATAACTGCTATTACCTGTTCGTTCGATGAAAATCGTTTCCCACGCATGAATTTTTTGAGATGTGAGAACAGCCAGAAATCAGAGGGAGCTAAATCTGGCGAATAGGGAGGATGTTGCAACAATTCGTATTTTAATTTACTGATTTTCACAATGATTTTTTGAGCAGTGTGAGAGGGGGCGTTGTCTTGACAAAAACTGATTTTTTTCTTTTTTAAACCAGGTCTTTTCTCATGAATTTTTACATCCAGCTGGTCCAAAAGGTTACAGTAATAATCTGAGTTTATTGTTTTACCAGTTTGGAGGTAATCCACAAACAAAATTCCTTTTGCATCCCAAAAAACTGATGCTAACACCTTCTTGGCCAATTTCTGGACCCTAACTCGCTTCGGAGCCAAAGTACTGTGTTCACACCACTCCTTAGCCTCTTGTTTTGATTCAGGATCATGGTGGTAGACCCAAGTCTCATCCATAGTGATGAAACAATGCACAAAATCCTTTTTATCCTTTCTAAAACGCTCCAAATGTTGCTGAGAAAGTTGCATTCAAATGTGTTTTTGTTCCATAGTTAGCAAATGCGGCACCCATTGTGCACACAGCTTTCTGTAAACCAAAACTTCGGCCAAAATATTGCTCACACTGCCTAACGAAATCCCTAGTGCTTCTACTAAATCTCTCTCGGTTAATCGATGATCTTTCAAAACCATATGCTGTATTTTTGCTACTATTTCTGGTGTTGATGCACTTTTTGGACGTCATTCACGTGGATGTCTTCAAGACTCGTACGACCACGTTTAAATTCAGCAACCCATCTTTCTACTGTTCTGATTGAAGGTGAAGAGTCCTTATACACTTTTAACAATTGTTCATGAATTTGTTTTGATGCTACACTTTCCAAAAATAAGAATTTTATCACTGCACGATATTCAATTTTTTCCATTGTAAAAAAAATACAGTGACATGTCAACTTTGAACAGCTGCAAATATACAATGAGTTGACAGATCTACTTGAAACTTGACACATGTTTATGAAATAGTAGTACTATTTATAGAGAAATAAAGTGACGATCCTAATAGCGCCACCTCGAACGACAAAACTTATTGAACAACCTGATACACCAAAAATGAATATAATGTCATTTAACATTTTAACTCACTAGAAAGTTAAATCAATGAGAACCCTGAGCTTGTTTCTTTGCAACAAGACAGTTCCATCTGGGGGTAATAGGAGAAATGACACCCGAAGTGTGTTTCTTATGTCCAGTTTATTCCTTTGTTCCGTCATCCATTAAAAGTCACATAAAACCGAAAGAAATACACCATAGTAAATGAAATGGAAATACCAGTAATTTAATGTTCCTTGGGCGGCCCATTTGATCCATTTGATCCACAGACCATTTGATCCACAGATTTGGATACCATTTGATCCACAGACCGGTACTGGTCCGCAGCCCAGGGGTTGGGGACCACTGATGTAAAGCTTTTGCTATGTTTTGGGACATATGAGTGAAATATCTATTGCAATCAGCAGCTGTTACTGTGTTAACAGATTGACCAATGACTTCTATAAGATCTTGTTGTCCCAGATAAGTAGGATCTAGGATTGATCTTCCTGCATTTTTAATTTTTGAAAAAGCTTCTTCCATAGGATTAAGCATATAGGAATATAGCAGCAGAAATTTCAGTGCATGCATTCTTTCATGAACAAATTCCCTTAATTCTCTACTTTTATATATTTGAAAATTATCCATTATTAATTAACCATACATTGGATAAGTTTTCATGAGCATTTAGATATTCCAGTAGTTAAACAATGAATTCATTAAAAGACTAAAACCTTGCTGATCCATGGGTAATTTTGTAGTGAAAATCTGAAACTGAATTTATACCAGCAATTAGTGTGATGTTCTGACCTTTTATGGTTGAAAGTGTTTGTGAACTTCTTTTCCCTTTCCTACTGTAGCAATTGTTTCATTTAAGATGAAGATTGAAACCAAATTCATTGATAAATATTAATTTCAGCTGATCATTAGGTGCATTTACAGTGAAGTTATTTGTTTATTTGTATCACAAATCAAATCATATTTTGAATATTAACTCTATCCAAAGTATTGGATATATGAGCACTAAGGTTTGGCTCTATAGAAACTAATCACACTATTTACGTTTGTCAGACTAATCAAACAGTAATGGGCAAACACAGTTTTAATTTTATGTATAGTATTGCCTTGATTTGCATGACATTTGTCAATATTATAAGCCATCTCAAAGTGAAGGCACTTTGTGCAAAAAAAGCTTTTTAATTTTAGTTAATA